AAACTAGAGATACCACACTTAATGATATTTGCAACAAACTATTTTAGAAGTCAGACCAAGGAATTAGTAGTTATCTTCAGAATCCAGAAAAGGGATGAGGAATCCGAGAAAGAAATATATGAATTATATGATTTTTACTAAATTGAAGTAAAAAAATTACTTTAAACAGCAATTTATCTTTAAAATATATTTAACAATTTATGTTATTTGATGTAAAGTTGTTATGTTTATATAACAATAACTATGGTCCATGTTGTCCAATTACTATTTTTATAAAACTATTATTAAAAATTCAAATATTCGTTGCTTCGTTTAGGAAATATTTGTGTTTGACACAGTCTTAAAAGCTGCTTTTTAAATTTAAAAAAAAACTCCAAACTATAAAACCTTTACTTACTTTGAATTCCTGCAAACGCAATGAGCCGCGGTTAATATGAATTTTTCATTTAAAATTGTTCCTCCGCAGGTATGTCTGTTTTCATATCTAAGTGAAACCTAAAAATTTAAAATTTCATTTTTAAAGATTTTATTAAATTTCATATTTTCCATCCACTTACTGCGTAAGGAAATTCTCCTTCTTCAGCGTTTGTGCCATTAACGATTTTTGAATCGGCTACAATAATAGAAGTTGTAATAATATTTAAAATTTTGTACATAAATAACAAGCTGTTCTGAGGAGTGTTATTTTATTTATTTATGATGTAACTAAGAATTTAAAAAAATTTATATATGGGCAAAACGTTTAAATAATAATAATAATATATTTATTTTGCCTCTGCTATTTACATTATTTTTACTTTTTAAATACATACGAGGTGTGTTCAGAAAATAACGGGAATTGTTAAATTTCGCGGGTTCGGAGGGTCCGGTTGTAAAATTTTCTTTATTATGTTGGTATACATGCCCCCGAAGTATGATAAAAACTTTAGCTGTTTTCATTGTTTACTTTGTCTGTGGCAGCCGCTAAGGTTAGACGTGTTTTATGAGCTCGGCGATTTTTCGTTCGTTAAAAGAAATGGATCAAAGAATTTGTATCCATTTTTGCTTAAAAAATGAAATAAATTCTGTGAAATGTTACCAAAGGCCTATAGTGAGTCTGCTATAAGTAAAACAAGAGTTTACAAGAGGTATAAGAGTTTTCAGGATGGCCGTGAAGACCTTGAAGATGACGAACGCCCCGAACGCACAAGCACATTAACAACCGATAAAAAATGGAAAAAGTGGACGAAATGGTTATAAACCATCAGATAAGTCGCTGATGATGTTGGTATATCGATTGGCTCATCCCATGAAATTTTTTCGAATGTTTTGAGTATGAAACGCGTAGCAGCAAAATTTGTTCTAAAATTGTTAAATTTTGAACAAAATTTTTGGTCAAAAACAATACTGTAATGATGCCCCAGCCTCCATATTCGCCAGACATATCTTTGTCTGGCTTTTTCCTATTCCCAAAAATAAAGAGAACCTTAAAGGGTCGTCGTTTTGCAAGCATAGATGACATTAAAAGCGCATCGCTGAAAGAACTAAAGATCGAGTTTTAGAAGTGTTTCGAGTATTGGAAGAAGAGCTGGCACATGTGCATAATATCCAATGGGGACTATTTTGAAGGCGACAACATTAATGTAGACGAATAAATAAATATTTCTTTCAAAAAACGAAAATTCCCGATATTTTCTGAACACACCTCGTATATCACAATTTGTCTATCAACAAGTTTTGAAATCAGTTTAAAGGTTATTTAATTTAAAAAAAATGGCTTTTGCTACTTTTTTATATCATTAACCGTATTTTTACAATATGAAATTTAAGTTTTAATTTTATTTTTAAAATTATGCATTTGTTTCCTTTATTAAAAATGTATCTAAGAATCCCATAAATTGGTAGTTTGGGTGTATTTATTAAAAAAAAAATTAATTGGTGGAGTAAAGCAAATGGTAATAAAGCAAGAATAAGACAAAACAAGAGTTCCATAAATAGTTACCTTAAAGTCAAATCATTAGATAACTATCTCAGTCGGTAATAATATAGAACTCCTTTATTTTGGGTCCAATATAGGACAAAAAAGTTCGCACGTTACTTTGGTGGTAAGATTTTTGTTTTTTTGTTAAGAGCAGGGCTGTGTTTAAATTACAATAAAAATATTTATAAAAAGTGTACAGATCAGTGTGTGGTATAAATGTGTTCCTCATGGTTTAAGCATTGTCACTTTAATGCGTTTTAATTTAAATTCTAAAAACAAACAGTAAAATGGCCAGTGTCCAATTACTGGTTGCTAAAAATGTAAATTTTTATTATTGGACGTATGTCCAATATCATACTCTATTTGTTTCCCGGACATTTACCAGCCAATTCTTATGTAAAATTGTCCCCTAAATCCGAAAAAACTATAAAAGTTAAGCAGTTTTTGAAATATAGGCAATTCAATATTATATGTAAAATTGATTATATTTCAAAAACTGTTCTATTTTTATAACTTTTGACGACATTTTCGGATTCAGCGAAGAATATTCCATAGGAATTGACTGCTAAATATCCTGGATACATATTGCTGTTGACGAGAATTATTAGTGGCTGCTTTTTCGCTATGACATTTTTGACTAATTCATTTTAGAGAGAAAGTAACATAGTGAATTATTCGTCACAGGACATCTGGCAGAATAACAGTGATTTAAATACAGTGCATGATAGAGAACATAAAAAACTAATGGCAACAAAATTAATAAATTCGGAAAATACTTTTAACATACCACCCGAAAAAATATTAGTTATATATAAATCATCCTGTCCGGCCCAAACATTATAAATGCTTCACAAACTAGAGATACCACACTTAATGATATTTGCAACAAACTATTTCAGAAGTCAGACCAAGGAATTAATAGTTACCTTCAGAATCCAGAAACGGGATGAGGAATCCGAGAAATAAATATATGAATTATATCATATTTACAAAAACGAAATAAAAAAAATTACTTAAAACAGCAAATTATCTTTAAAAAATATTTAACAATTTATGTTATTTGATGTAAAGTTGTTATGTTTATATAAAAACTGTGTGTCCAATAACTGTTCATGTGTCCAATTACTATATAAAATGTCCAATTATTATACTTTTTTGAATGTTTTTATAAAACTATTCTTAAAAATTCAAATATTCTTATTTTTAAGTAAACGTAAATAAATATTCCTTAAGTATCCAATTACTATGTGATTCGTGTTTTGGTAATTAAATAAATAAAAAATATTTTGACCAAATAATTTGGTCCAAATTAATAATTTTTCAATGGATTACAAATTAGAATAACTTCCAAAATTCATGCCATTATCTATGATGTGTCCGAATTTTTAAAAACGTACAAAGTTAGGAAGTTATTCTGAGCAGGCATTTTAAGCTGACCACACAGACTGAAAAGCTTTTTAGGTTCGTTACAAGTTGGGTAAAGAATGTCCAGAATATCAAAAATGTCTGGGTCGAGTAAAAAGTTTGTTTTTAAGAATTGTTTTAAATTTAAATAATAAATTTTCATAAAAAGTTAAATCGCATATTGTACAAAAACAATAAATATTATAAAAAATTAATAAAAAACTATTTTTATGAAAATGAAATAACCTTTAATCTGATAAAAACGTTTTGCCAATATATAAATAAAATCAAGTTTCAAGTGAATAATTAAAAAAGTGCATAATATTTTTAATATTAATGAATAAACCGTGGGAATAACTCTGAAAGTCTCAAAAACACTTCCCAGAACAGCATCGAGATTAACTACTCACCTAGGCAGTGGGTTATACAAATAGTAAAAATGACAAAAGACAACATATTGTTTTCACTGTTAAAAAACTTCTGAACATTTTAATTTAAAATGTTGTATTTATACATACTTTAAAAGCAGTCTTCAATATTACATTATCATACTTTATCATAAACCTTTCAATTTACTAATAGTTTTATCAGTGATTATTCAAACAGTTTAACATATATTACAAGAACAAATTATTTTGTAACTACCTACCTATCTAATTTTAAACTTCCCATGGTTTATTTAAATTTTAACCTGATTATAGTATATTATGTATCAAGTTTGATAAACGCCATTTTATACACGAATTTAATTTAGGCACGTGCGAGCTTGCGAGCGAGTGCTTAAATTAATGAGTGTATAGAACAGTTTATAAACGAGGTGCATACTATACTTTTTCTACGACAAATACTTATTATTATCTTAAAATGATTTAAATCCAAAATTTGTATAGAGCGCCATCTATGAAACAATAGGGGGATCTGTGTGCCACCGTCAAATGTCAAATTTTTACGTTTTATAAACACAATTATAAAGGTTATAAATCGAAATGTATTTCTTGAAAATTGACAGTTTTTCACAGTGAAAGTAAAGAAAATGTTTTATGAGCACTTTACAGTGGGGTCCGTGCCCGAATTTAAGTTATAGTTTACTGCCGGCGAAATGTTCATATAAACTTTTCAAATATTGGCGTTAAGAAACTATTTAATACTTTTGTATTTTTGTATTGAGATAATAAAATAATTTTCACATTTAGTATTATTTCACAAGAAAGGCAATTTATTTTAACGATTGTATGACATTTGACAACTGTCAACTAACTTAAAACTAACTTCAGCCCTTGACTAAAAACCTCTTGCTAACTTCAGCCCGTGACTAAAGCGCCATAAAGCCACAACTTGTGAATGTGTATTTAAAATGTCACTTAGTGTCATGGAAACATGTACGATAAAGGGCGTTTTAAAGGTGGGAGTAGAAAAAATATTATAATCAAGTTGACAAAAAACCGGGGAATACTTATATTATTTAATCAGGATTATATAGGTACATAATACTGTGCAAACAATGATTGTATATTAATAATTATATCCCAGCGTTACCAAACAGTAATAAAGATAAGTCCTTATGGTGTAGATATTGTCCAATATAATTAATAATACATAATATAGTTAAAGAAAAAGTATACATTGTGTGAAATGATAAAATTAATAAAAAAAATAATTATATTATATATTTTTGAATATCCAGGGGTAAATTTTTGATATATCAACAGCTCCATTGGGGTTTTTAACACTTGAACTCTCACAATTAAGGGATGTTATAAAACTGTTCACTCCTATGACTGTATTATCCATCATTACAGGGGAACCAGAATCACCCTGAAAATAAAAATAAATATTTTTTTTATATTTTAAATGCCGCTGTATATTATGTGTTGTGTTGGAAGACTGAATCTAATAAAGCTCTAAAAAAATCTTTTTACTTTACATAGCCCCCCTTGCAGCGATCCAAAACAGATGGTTCTTGGCCAACACTTGGGGTAAATTTCAACAGTCAATTCTCGTAGTTGGTATGTTATAGGACCATTTTGCTAAAAAAAAAATTGCAAATATTATGTATATACAGTTACTACTGTAGACTGGGTCAAAAAAATCGACTATTTTTTTTTGGAAAGTATATCGAAAATATTGTTTGGGGGCACAAAAAAAAATATGGTGAAAGTTTGAGTCCATAATATTAATATTAAGAGGTCTATCATCGCAATTTTAGACTTTTTTTTCCTGACCCAGTTTTTGTCTCAGAACTCCCAAATCATTGAGTTTAACAAAATTGACTTAATAATATTTTTTGAAGAAAATTGAATCCTGTACAAAAAAGGTTTAATTGGATTTTCCCGTCAGATGAACCGTTTTCTTCATGCCTTAAAAATTGGTATAGTTTTACAATTAGATCGTTTAACTTTGGCATTTTGTAATTCAAGTAAAAATCAGTACCCTGAAAAAAACGATAAATAATCTTATGGAAATCAAATGCTCTACAAGAAAGTCTTTTATCATTTTTGGCTAAATTCACTTCATCAAAAGTTATTCAAGGGTAAATTTGAAGTCAAAACGAAATTTTAACCTTGAATAACTTTTGATAGAGTGAATTTAGCCAAAAATGTTAAGAGGCTTTTTTTGTAAAGCATTTGATTTCCCATAAGAATATTTATCGGTTTTTTATGGGTACTGATTTTTACATGAATTACAAAATTCCAATTTAAAAGATCAAAATGTAAAACTATACCTATTTTAAAGGCATGATTTTAAGGAAACGGTTCATCTGACAGAAAATTTCACTTTAACCTTTTTTGTAGAGCATTTAATATTTTCAAGTCAATTTTGTTAAACTCAATGGTTTGGGAGTTCTGACCCTAAAACTTGCTGAGGAAAAAAAATTAAAATTGCGATGATAGACCTCTTAATATTAATATTATGGACTCATAATAATTTTTTTTTTCAACCCAAACCATATTTTCGATATATTTAAAAAAAAAAAATTGTTGATTTTTTTGGCCCAGTCTAATATACAGGGTGCACAAATTATCCTTCTACAGTGTGACCCATTTGTTTGCGACCCGTAAAATCTTTATTTATTGTGCGATTTTAACCGGATTTGTTTTAAAGTGTAGATCTTGATAAACTGTATTTTTGAAGCAAAAAACGCCATATTTGTACAAAATACAAGGCCTACTATGTCAGTAAATTTTTAAGAATTCAAATTAGCGATTTTTTTAAACAAAATCTTAGCACGGCACTGGATTCACCACCCCTCAAAACGAACCTTTACTAAATTTTATTTAAAAAAATTAAGTAGAAAAATGCACAATAATAACTACAAAAATTTATTCTATCCAGTTATCCATGAAAAAAACAATGAAATAAAATTTAACTTATAGTAATGTACCATGTAGTACCATTCTATTAGTTTAATTTTATTTCAATTTTAATTTATTTTATTTTATTTAATTTTTATTCAATTTTATTTTAAGTTTTTTTCATGGATAACTTGACAGAAAAAATTTTTGTAGATAATATTGTGCAATTTTCAATAAAATTTAGTATAGGGTCGTTTTGAGGGGTGGTGAATCCAGTACCGTGCTTAGATTTTGTTTAGACTTTTAATAATTAAAAATAATAAAAAACTGAAAACGAAAAATCGCTATAACTTCGTTATTATTTTGATTTTTATTTTAATTACTTTTAACATGTCAACATAAATATTTATTTACTTTTCCATCCAATTTGTGATTTTTTCACCTTGGCGGCCATTATGAAAACAAAATATAGTAGAGAAGAAATTGGATGAAAATTATGAATAATGTGTAAAACTTACTTTTTTCAAAATTCCTAGGAATAAAGAAGTGATAACGATTTTTTGTTTGAGAACAGGTATTTTTCAAATTTTATTTTAATAAGCTCATTAAAAAAAATACCGATATGTACGGGGTGTGTTCAGAAAATAACGGGAATTGTTAAATTTCGCGGGTTCGGAGGGTCCGGTTGTCATAAAATTTGCTTTATTATGTTGGTATACATGCCCCCGAAGTATGATAAAAACTTTAGCTATTTTCATTGTTTACTTTGTCTGTGGTAGCCGCTAAGGTTGGACGTGTTTTATGAGTTCGGCGATTTTCGTTCGTTAAAAGAATATGGATCAAAGAATTTGTATCCAATTTTGCTTAAAAAATTAAATAAATTCTGTGAAATGTTAACAAAGGTCTATAGTGAGTCTGCTATAAGTAAAACAAGTTTACAAGTGGTATAAGAGTTTCCAAGATGGCCGTGAAGACGTTGAAGATGACGGACGCCCCGAACGAACAAGCACATTAACAACCGATAAAAACATGGAAAAAGTGGAAGAAATGGTTATAAACCATCAGAGAAGTCGCTGATGATGTTGGTATATCGATTGGCTCATACCATGAAATTTTTTCGAATGTTTTGGGTATGAAACGCGTGGCAGCAAAATTTGTTCCAAAATTGTTAAATTTTGAACAACATTTTTGGCAAAAAACAATACTGTAATGATGCCCCAGCCTACATATTCGCCAGACATGCCTCTGTCTGACTTTTTCCTATTCCCAAAAATAAAGAGAACCTTAAAGGGCCGTCGTTTTGCAAGCATAGATGACATTAAAAGCGCATCGCTGAAAGAACTAAAGACTATTCCAAAGATCTAGTTTTAGAAGTGTTTCGAGTATTTGAAGAAGAGCTGGCACATGTGCATAATATCCAATGGGGACTATTTTAAAGGCGACAACATTAATGTAGACGAATAAGTAAATATTTGTTTCAAAAAACGAAAATTCCCGATATTTTCTGAACACACCTCGTATAAAAGGATACTTGGTGCACCCTGTATATTACAACTATGTCATTTGTTTACTTCTGTGCTTCCCCAACCCACAATCGTGGCAGTTTTTTTTGTTGAAGGAGTCGAATTTTGTGCTAATGTCGCTACAGCCCAATTTTCTGAAGGTTGCATCGGATTGTTCAACTGTAATTATAACCTTTAGTTGTATTATTACAATTAAATTTTTGCGTTGTTTTATCCTTACTTGCAAAATGGCTACATCATCATCCTGATTACAAATTATATTGGAAACTTCTGCATTTTTTCCTGCAGGTAAATATGTGCTTCCATATCTTACACTAAACTCATCATTTGTCGGTTTATACAATGACACCCTTAAACCAAAACGTTTATAAATAATAATGATTATACAGGGTGACTCGCGAAATTTGGACCTTTATTTTTATCAAAATTTTTTATGTCTAATCATGTGCCCCAAAAAAAATCTCGCATACTGAGGTCTGGTGATCGAGGACGCCATTGGATCGCGTTTGGAGTGGCCTGTATACAGAGTGTCCTGTATGTTTTGATAAAAAATGAAGGTTATTAAGGATGTCACCCTGTTTTTAATAACAAAATACATACGAACTATTCGAGCAAACACAATGTCTTGCTGTCAGAATCCGATCATTTTTTATAATGGTTCCTCCACAAAACACATTAGATTCTAATCCAACTATTGCAACCTTACAAAAAAAATCACTTACAAAGGTTATTGACATATAAACGAAAATAATTTCAAAAAGGAATACTCACAATATATTTAAAATTATTTATGATTTTTCCCCCGCTAATCCTAAATTCATTTGTTTTATGTTTGTTGGTATTAACCTCTAAAATAAAATATATAACTACTTTTTGAACACACAAAGGATAATAATAGTACATACCAGCAGCAAATATTAAAAAAATATACAACGCTTTTTCACAAAACATTTTAACCTTGTAGATAATAAATAATTTTTTAAAATAGTTATTATATACTATATATAATTTTACATGCGTATGATTAACTACTATAACATTTTAAAAGTTGCAGTTTGTGTAAAAAACCATAAGATAAGTAAAAATTCTTAAGGTTTTTAAATTCTTACAAATAAATGTTGGTTTAAAAATAGTTCTGTAATATTTTTGCTTTATTTATTGTACAATTTTAACAAATTGGAATAAAAAAATGGCATTTTATGATCATAATTTTCAACGTACAGGGTGTTATGTAATTAATGTAATATATTAAAATACTGAATACCTTTTGACATAAGGTGTAACGGAAAAATATTTAAAAAATATTTTCCCGAAAATAAAGAAAAAATATTCAATAGATGTTTTTATATTTTTTGTGATACGCCACTGGTTACACACTTGTGTTCTGTGAGTACATAGATACCAACCAACAAAGTAGCTACGCGTTGCCAGTTGTAAAAAATTGTTCTTGCAAAAAATAAACTAAAACTCAATAAATACAAAAGTGTTATGCCCTTAAAGCTCTAACACCCTTTTGTATTTAGTTACTCATCCAGCTATTAGGTTAAGCAATGATTAAAAAATTTTGTACCTATTTTAAAAACTCCATAACCATAAAATTAATTTTTTCTTGGTTTTTTTTCTTCTGCTTATTCAGATGAAATTAGGACAAGTTCACAGGTTAAACTTTAAACATTCAATTTGTGTAAATAAATCCAAAAGCACTTCCCTTACTTAAGATATTTACAATTTGAGCACATAACCTAAAATTTGAAAGGAATGCACCAGTTTCTGTCATAAAAGTTGCCAGATTTTGTTTGAATTTACCTTCATTACAAAAATTACATAATCAACAATTAATAAAAATGCCAAATTAACAATTTGCATTGTTGATTTTGTCATTTTTGTAATTAAGCTAAATTTAAACAAAATCTGGCAACTTTTTTGACAGAATCTGAAAACGCTGGTTGTTACCAACCATAAAATAATAAATTAAATTAGGCAACCAAATAAGCCTGAAGTTCCTAGTCGATCAGTGGCGTACGTTTTGGTAGGAAAAGGGTTATTATAACATTTATATTTTATATATAATATAATTTATATAATTTATTTAGTCTTTAGAACCCTGTATATTAACTTTGTTTTAGAAATTCGAATTCCATTATTTTAAATCTAACTTTATGAAAAACATTTTGACATGTATGGAATATAAAATGGCGTCGTACTGCCAAAATGTCATCACTTTTTTGAATCCTCTTTATATTTAAATTAAAAAAATATTTTTTTCCATAACTTTTATTGCCAATTAAAACCTGTTTTAACATTTAACCTTTTAATCCAGCTGTACTCTTAATCCATGGATAAACGGTGGAAACATCCACAACCCAATCAGGGTGCTTTTCGTTGGAATGTCCACACCTACCCATAACAAAACTGTTTACACCAACCACATTGCCCCCAGAAAAAATTGGCGAACCTGAATCGCCCTAAAAATCAGTTATGTAATAATAACAGAGTTCGAAAAAATCATGATTTTTTTTAATCAAAAATCAATGATTTTGATTTGTAATTTTACTAAACATGTTTAGGAAGTTTTTACGAACCACAATGTATATATATATATATATATATATATATATATATATATTTATTTCAACTCAGTTTAAGAAAATTACAAAATATATTTTACAATTTTACTGAACTGAAGAAAATTCGATTCGCAATATTACGATACAAATATTCTTATTTTGTACAAAAAATTCTAATTATACTACGAAAAAAACACCTGAAATTTTCTTACTTTTTTCAAGAAGCTTTCTTGACCCATTACTGTAAATATTTAAAAAAAAATTGAACCTTCACCTCGCCAAAGTTTTTGTTTTAAGTGCGTTCCACTAACTTCAAATACCGACAGACAGCTAGACAGATAGATCTATTTTGGGTCTTATCAATGTCGGGCAATTTGGTGTATTGGAACACACCAAAAACGAAAAAAACCTGAGCTTATATTCTGTTCACCTAAGTCAACCGAAGCGAGATGTAAGAACATCACGTGATTGCCGCAATCGTTACCTACTATGCATTTTACATAACATTATAGCAAATCAAATTACAAACAACGTTTGTAAATCTGAGATGGTTTTTATTAGAAACTGTCAAACTGTTTAGTAAAATTACAATGCGTGAAGGATGTATACATATTAGGGTGTTTCATTTAATTTTTTTTTCTTGCTGACGCATGAAAATTTTGTTTTTTAGGTTGAAAAAAAAATTCCCTGAAAATTTGAGCCCTTAACTTTTATTCTAAGTACTTCCTTTTGTAGTTTTTCCATATAAAAAGCATGCATGCATGTATTTTTAATCATTTTTACTTTAAATTTCTATATTTTGGCTGGGTTTTGAATTATAATTTTTATCACCATAATTTCCTGCATAGTATTCACGGTTTTTGAAAGGCCCTGCATCAATTTTGTTTTTGATTTATTTACGTTGATTGTAGTAGCTCCAAAAGTCGTTTTTTCACTTTTTCTCACATATTTTTGAGAAAATCGAGCGAATGCGAATGCGAATTCAATAACCAAAAACAAAGAAAAAATAGGTTTTATTGAAATTTATGTGATTTGATTCAACAACTATATATTGCTTATATCTCTTAAACAAAGCACTTTAGTGATATGAACGTAAAAACCTTTTTTGTCAAAAATTAAATTTTATACATGTTTTTTATTTGAACTTTTTCGGTAAAATCAGTCATTCGCTCGATTTTCACAAAAATATGTGAAAAGAGTGAAAAACGACTTTTGGAGCTACTACAATCAACGTAAATAAATCAAAAACAAAATTGATGCAGGGCCTTTCAAAAACCGTAAATACTATGCAAAAAATTATGGTGATAAAAATTATAATTCAAAACCCGGCCAAAATATACAAATTTAAAGTGAAAATTATTAAAAATACATGCTTTTTATATGGAAAAACTACAAAATTAAAAAGGAAGGTAGAATTAAGGGCTCAAATTTTCAGGGAATTTTTTTTTCAACCTAAAAAACAAAATTTTCATGTGTCAGCAAGAAAAAAAAAATTTCGTTTTAAATGAAACACCCTAATACATATAGATTGTAAAATTACAACTTACGTATCTTAGTAGATTTCCCAACATGTCTTGGAAGATTACTCAAATTGTATTATAATTTTGTATTGGTATACACTGATTTGCAAAACAATTGTAATTTTACAAAAAATGTTAACAGTGTGCAGGATTAAAATGATATATAGTAAAAATGCAAACAGAAGTTGTATAAAATAAATAATGATTTGTATATTTCACATTGTAATTCAAATAGCAAATTTTGGTTAGTACCTACTTTTATTGATTATCTTGGTAAAATTAAATTCCGAATATTTATAGAAATTTTCAAGTTCAAGTCTACAATTATTGTATCATACAGAATTGTAAAATTACTATAAGTATCTGAAAAAAACAAAAACATTGTAAAATTGGAACCTGTTTAGTACTTTGGCTATAACAAAATGTAATATTACAACAAATGCGTATTAAAATTGCAATACAATACAACATTTTGTAATTTTAAAAATGTAGTAATTTAAAAAAAAAAATTAAAAACTATAGTTTTAGATCTTTTGTGTTTCTTTAGATTTTAGAAAGTTTTAAAACTGATTTAAATCAAATTATTTAACTCAGGCAAACCCTGAATAATAATAATAATTTTATCTTATTAGGGTCAACGATTAGCAGTTGGACAGCGCGGTCCTTATTGGTCAATTAAGGCTTTTATTTGACTTTTCTTGATGTTACTATACTATACTCTCTAAAAATGAATTAGTCAAAAATGACTATTAAGTACTACAATTATGATTGGCTGCTTTTTCACTTGTACCGCGGTATCCCCAATTCTTGTGTTATTAAAGTAGAACAGTTTTTGAGATATAGTTAATTCCATATTATATGGAAAATTGAGTATGTATTTTTTAATACTGTTCCACTTTTATAACTTTTGACGATTCAGGGGACAATTTTACATGGAAATTGACTGCTAAATGTTCGGGATTATAATTGCTATTGACAATTAGTCATTTATGACTAATTCATTTTTAGAGAGTGACAATGACAATCACGTGTAAAGTGCGTGATTGTATTGATTTATTTTTAGTTCATCTCTTAATGAATGGATTAAAATTTTTTTGGGGTGATTTAGTTGAAAGAACAACCAAAACGTTTTTTTTTAAATAAAGAGATGGCGAAATAAATTTAAAAATAATTACCGAGCATATGCTTCCATGTTCGGATCCTAAACATAAGAGGAATGGCATATGACAGGTCTCGTTGGAGTATATGGTAAAAATCAGTTTTTTTAAGTCTGGTGTTACCGTACCGCCGGGCTAAAAAAAAGCAACAATTGCAAATTTTCCGAATCTAAGAGTACGCAATACTGCGCACTCTTGAACCACGTATTATTTACCTTAGTTGTGCCCCAACCAACCGCCATTGCACTGTGATTTTTCGATGTATCAAAAGGTGTGGTTTGTAGGGATGGAATACCCCAATCGTCAGATTTTTCCATGGAACCTTGCAACTTATAATAATTATATTATGAAAAAAAAGTATTCCAATGTATCATGTTTGATAAACCCCATTTTAATCACAAATTTAATTTAGACACAAGAGACCTTGCGATTTGACAATTGTCAATTAACTTCAGCCCGTGACTAAAGCGGCATTAGCCACAACTTGTCAATTTGTATTTAACACACATGCATGTGTTATTATTATTATTATATATTATTATGTAACATTGTTACACTTACTTTTATTATAGCAACATCGGCTTCCTGATTGCAATGAATATCGGCCACGTTTATGTGTTTTCCTGAAGGAAAATGTGTGCTGCCATATTTAACGTAAAAAGCGTTTTGTTGTGGTTCCAAGGTTTCACTAAAAAATAACAATTTACTATTATGATTAAATTTAACCAAAGTTTTAAAACACACTGTATATTAATTAATCAATACATACATGTCACAAACACAGTGTCTTGCAGTCAAAATATAGTTATCGGATAATGGAGTTCCACCACAAAATTTATGAGTATGGTGATTCAATATTGCCACCTTAATAAAAAAATTAGATTGTTTACAACAAACGGGTCAATCCATAATGTAAGGGCAATTGAATAGTATGGTCTTAAATTTTAAAAGTAAACCACAATCTTTAAAGGAAGTTAGGAATATTTGACCACATCGATTTTTACCCTTACCCTTTACCCTTAATTTTTTTCTCGAAATCTAAAACTATGCAGCACACATTTTTGATGTTTTTATTTAAAATCACTCAATTATGTACCCAAAAGTTTTTTGTACTTACAATATATTTAAAATTATCTATTCTTCCTCCCCCTCCTATTCTTGATAATTCATGGTATTTACAGTCGACAATTTCTAAAACTAAAATAAATATTTGCAGATTATATTTTTCCAAACGTTTTTGACGTGCTGTACTCAAATTTAACATCGGAATTGCTTCATGAATAAATTCTTACTTAAAAGTTTAAAAAGACAATTTTTTTCCTACAAAACTTCTTGAACCATTTAGAAAAATGACTTTTGATTTTTTCAATTTTGTTTTTCCTTTTACTTAGTTCTTTTAGATAGCGTAACGAGGTTTGCGTTTGGGTTACAATTCATCAAAAACTTGACGAAATAATACAAAATTAAATGTGTTTAAAACAATTAATAAAATGTTAAAAATCACCTGTAAGTAATAAAATCAAAAAGTTACACTTTCCATACATTGTAAACTTGAAAATCAACTGTATATTTTGCACAAACAGTGTCCCCAATTTATATATATTTTTAAATACCTTAATAAATTAATCGAATATTTTGGTATTGAAATATTTTACCCCATAATTAACTAAAAATTTTTAGTTAACAATCATTGTTATTCGAAACATTTTAAGCCAAGTTTGATTGCATGTACGCAATAACTTTAGTTCAAAATTTGAAAAATGTGCTTTGTATTCAGTGCAGTAACTTAGTTTAATTTTTACTTGTTAATTAACAAATTATAGGATACATGTTTGTTATTTTTACTTTCATTAGTAAATTCGTTTGAGGGGACAAGATATTGTTTAAAAAGTGACCAAAAATTTAATATTTTTTAAGTCAAATATAAGTATTTTTTTTTAAATTAAGATTAAAAAAAAATATTTTACGTAAATTGTTATAAAAATTAATTAGTCAAAAATTACTAATTTAATAGTTATTAGTGGCTGCTTTTTCACTTGTACCATGGTTAACCATAAAATACTATGGTATCCCAAAATTTAACAGCCTATTCTTATGAAAAATTGTCCCCTGAATCCGAAAATACCGTCAAAAATTATGAAAGTAGAGCAGTTTTTGAGATATAGTCAGTTCCATATTAAATTGAAAACATTTTTTATCTTTTGACAGGGGACAATTTTACATAAGAAAAAAAATGTATTTTGTTAAAAACTTTTTTTTCACTTGTACCATGGTTAACCATGGGATACCATGGTATCCCAAAATTTAACAGCCAATTCTCATGTAAAATTGTCCCCTGAATCCTAAAATGTCGTCAAAAATTAAAAAAGTAGAACAGTTTTTGAGATATAGTCAATTTTCCATTTAATATGGAATTGACTATACGAGGTGTGTTCAGAAAATATCGGAAATTTTCGTTTTTTGAAACAAATATTTATTTATTCGTCTACATTAATGTTGTCGCCTTCAAAATAGTCCTCATTGGATATTATGCACATGTGCCAGCTCTTTTTCCAATACTCGAAACACTTCTAAAACTCGATCTTTGGGATAGCCTTTAGTTCTTTCAGCGATGTGCTTTTAATGTCATCTATGCTTGCAAAACGACGGCCCTTTAAGGTTCTCTTTATTTTTGGGAATAGGAAAAAGTCAGACAGAGGCATGTCTGGCGAATATGGAGGCTGGGGCATCATTACAGTATTTTTTTGGCCAAAAATGTTGTTCAAAATTTAACAATTTTGGAACAAATTTTGCTGCCACGCGTTTCATATCCAAAACATTCGAAAAAATTTCATGGGATGAGCCATTCGATATACCAACATCATCAGCGACTTCTATGATGGTTTATAACCATTTCTTTCACTTTTTCCATGTTTTTATCGGTTGTTAATGTGCTTGTGCGTTCGGGGCGTTCGTCATCTTCAACGTCTTCACGGCCATCTTGGAAACTCTTATACTACTTGTAAACTCTTGTTTTACTTATAGCAGACTTACTATAGGCCTTTGTTAACATTTCACAGAATTTATTTCATTTTTTAAGCAAAATTGGATACAAATTCTTTGATCCATTTCTTTTAACGAACGAAAAATCGCCGAGCTCATAAAACAAGTCTAACCTTAGCGGCTGCCACAGACAAAGTAAACAATGAAAACAGCTAAAATTTTTATCATACTTCGGGGGCAACATAATAAAAATTTTTGACAACCGGACCCTCCGAACCCGCGAAATTTAACAATTCCCGTTATTTTCTGAACACACCTCGTATCTCAAAAACTGCCCAACTTTCGTAATTTTTGACGGTATTTTCGGATTCAGGGTCATTTTTGACTAATTCATTTTTAGAGAGTATTATTTTTAGTAGTAGTAAACATAAAATACTTTTTTTGCAGAGGATTTATTTCTGTATAAAATGAAAAAAAACAAGGCTTTAGGTCAATTATTATAATAATTGACCTAAAGCCTTGACCTTATAAGGTCACAAATTAGTTTTGGCCAGAAAAGTAGCATTCCAACCCACCCTGCGTCGGTCTCGACGAAAGTAACACTTAAAACTTTAAAGTGCAGGTAACTTTATTAAATATGACCTACTTTATCGTAAATTAAATTTTAGTACCTATCTTAACTGCTTCAAGTATGCAACCACGATAGTTTGCCAACTAATATTAATTAAGTGTTTAGTTATTCAAGACACAGAACGACATAATAAATATATGCCTCCGATTTAGTTATTAACTAAATGGACTATGTAAGGTATACAGTGTATACTATACACCAAAGCTTTCTTTATACCACTGAAATGGTTAAAAATGTTATTACATTCCTCCAGAATCACCCTGTTTAAAATAAACATTTTTAAAATTAAAAATACGAGTTAAACCTAAATTTACGTGGTTTAGAATTTCTATATATAGAATATAATATATATAATATATTATAATAGAAATTTTGTTTTGTATTTACTCAGCCCGAAGCTTTTTTGTGGAATACAGATCTCCGAGGTGGGTATAACATAAGCGAAATAAAAGAGAAAATTTTATTTTTACCTGACATGATCCTCTTTCATTATTCTTCCATCCCGCACAAATTTGATACTCTATATTCCTAATACCTCTACAGCTCTGCTCGCATGTCTTGTCTCTAAACACAGTCACTGTGACTGGCTGTAATTTATCCTGCACGTAACCATTTGTCTAAAGAAATGTTCATATATTTAGATCTATAGATTCTTATTGCATTGGTTGGTAATATTCTTAAGGGGTTCAGTGAAGCCAACGTAATTAAAAGGGATTAAGCTCAAAATGGAAAAGATAAAAAAGAACCTATTATGAAAAATAATTATATTTTGTAAAAAAGTTAATATTTTCTTATACAAATACTTTTTTTAACTGTACAGGGTGAGTCATTTAAATGACTTAACTTGAATGAAAAAAATCAATTTTGTTTGATTTTTTTTCTGTATACGATTCTCCAATAATATTTGAATATTGGTTTTATTTTTTAAATGCTCTGGGATATTCTCAAATATCTAGATAATTCTCGTGTGCTTGCATGAGGATTAGCGGCCGTTGCTGCATACATTAATTAATTTCATTATTTCCACCTCGACGAACTCTTTTTTTTCGGTGGAACACTCCCGTTTGTAGTAAACTGCTTGACTATACGGTGAAATGAAGTACGTGATCGAATTTTATCCGGAAAACGCTGAGCGTAGATATTAACAGCTTCATTAAGATTCCTGTCTGCTTCTCCATAAATTAAAATCATTTCTATTTTGTCTTCCACTGTTAAAAAAATCCATTATGAATAACTGCTTAACGAAATGAGGTATTTATTATTATTATTATTATTATTATTATTATTATTAATGCTAAACAATAAATAGTTTCTTTATACCTCAATAATAATTATTATTTATAACTAAATACCATTTTTGATACCTCAATTAGGATTAAATTAATTAATTGACAAAATAATGGTTTTTTTTATCTTAAATGAGGTATTTTTATTAAAAATAGTACAATAATCCTTTAAATTAAAGGATTTAATGCTGGCAGGTAAAAAGTGACCATGGTGCGCAATTGATAATTATCACCGAATGAAATAATGTATAAAACTTAAAACAAAGGAAACTTAAATATTAGTTAAAAAAATCGTGGGTCCTTAAAAAAATCAGATTTAATTTAATAAGATAATTATTACCAAAAAAGTGATATTTTTATAGAACAATTATTGCAGAATCGTATATATCTAGTATACAGAAGAAAAATCGAACAAAACTGATTTTTTTTTATTACAGCGCCATTACACAGTAAAAAAAATTCAACTCTAAGCAATACTAATTAGAGTTCACACAGGTCCACACTAAATAGTGTTGTTTTATAACACTCCAATTAGAGTTAATTTTTAGTGTAGTATTCCCCAAGTAAGCAAGAATTATTTAACACTATAGCAGTGAGGATAAAGTAATTTTACACTGTATTAAAAAGTGTTAATTTACCTAAAATCGTGTACTTCTACACTTCCTGGGTAAAATCCCACTTTTGTTCAGTGTAAATTAACACTACTTTGGAAAAGTTCTAATTTTAGAAAGGTATACTTTTACTTTTGGTGCAAACTTCTGGTGTAAATTAACACTATTATTTGAGTAAAACCTATTGGTGGTAGTGAATAAAACGAAAAGGTAAATAAAGAGAAACATTTATTTATATATAACAAAATCTATGAAAATTATCAAAATCGGTGCGTTTTAAAATATAATTTTATATTTGAGTCGTATGGCTGGCTTAAGCAAAATGGTTCCTTAAAACTTAAAAGTTTTAGATCAATGCAATGTTTTACTGACTGTCAACTTGTAAGCAATGAATTATCTTGAGAATTCATCAGTAATCCATTTTTCTGTTATAAAAAACGGGTGATCCCATTGGTATAGAGGCGTCAGGCGGCTGTATGTCGGGGATTTACCACACGTGTACAAATTTTCCATAATATTAATAAAAATGTAGGTATAGGTTAATATGACAACCATTACGCTTGAAAATAAAAAGTAAATCAAATGTGTATGTATTTATATTATTAATGTTACAAGTACCCGACCTACTGCCGTAAATTATTGATATATAATATAGGTCGGGTATGGACATCTTTTAACATATTGGTATTTATTGAGTATTAAGGCTTAAAGAAAAAGGAAGTATAATACTAATAAAAAATAAGAATGTCCCCTTATGAATTCACCGTAATTAAAATCTAACTGAACAAAAATGCCACACTTCCACAACGCGGTATCTCCTGATATGCACTGCGTAGGTAGATACGTACAGTTACGGAAAAAAGTAATGTCCATTTAAAGGCTCCATTGTAATTGTTCGGAGGCATTCGGAAATAGTCAACATCTACCGTATTTATTTAAAAATATGTCTATATTTAGAATTTACTACCTGCTCATATTGAATTAATTATTTTTGGTGTATTATATATTTAACTGTATTTTTAGTAAATCGTTAAT